CAGTCCTTTGTTCATTACTCATATGTCTACAAGTCACTTAGGCTACCACATCTTATGCCAAGGGGTATTTTGAAATCCCCTCTATGCTCACAGAATATTCAGTTTTCTTAATATTTGCTCATAAACTCTTAAACTTAAAAAGCTTATTTCCTGTTATTTTATGCCCTCCTACCACCCCACATTTTCTTTTAAATCACTGGTATTTAGTAGAATTTCAGAAAAGTAATGGGTCTCTGTGTGTTACAGGTGTAGGGTGGTTAGTGGTGAAAGCTTAAAGCAGGTAAATTAAAATGTTGGCAGTGCATTATCCTTTTAGAATTGTAGTTTACTATAGGAACACTTTCGTGTTAGACTGTTAGGAAACTTTGATTTTAGTTCTGGGTAGACCTGTTAGTACTGCCAATCCCACTTATCCTCAAGCAATGAGCTTTCTAGGTGTGCCGTCCTGAGTCAATTTTGTATCTTGGTTTACTGGGTATCTACTACCAGGTGAGTTTATTTCTCTTCCTGGGGTTCTGTTTCTCCTTTTTAAAAATTCTTTCCCTAAACTTAGGTTGTATTACAGAGTCAGACCTTGTCACCATATTTACCCTTTGTGTACTGGGATGACAATTGCTGCGTTGTATGCTGTTAAGGTAGAATTCAGTGTGTTGTGGAGATGGCAGTTCATCCCAAGTAAGTTTGTTATTAGGTTTTATGTTCTGTGTATTAGAAACTAGTTTGTGTGCTCTCACACCTATAATATTTCTTTAGTTAAGACTACCCTCTGCTTTGTATTCTGTGTTTCAGATGTTGAGGTATTAGGATTGAACTAGAAGGATTGAACCCAGTATCTAGCACAGTATTTGTGTTGATCTTAAACATAATGCCTTTTTTTGGTTTGGGAGTAGTTTTTAGTCTGCATTATTAAACTCTAGGTTCAGGCGTAACACAGAAATAATGAAGTTGAATTATTTAGGAGCAATTTCCTAATAGTGCTATGGATTTTAGTTTTTTTTTTTTCTTATTTTTTTTTCAAAACAGTTTTTGGCAAGGCTGAAAAATAAGGGTACATCTTTTATTCACTGCTGGCCACGTTAAAAGCTGTTAACAGTTTAGCATAGTTTAGAACTCTTGTCTGAACATTTCTTTGGGTAAAATGATTCTAACCAGCTAAATAAACAGTTGTGCAAATTCAATTTGCTGTCACTGAAATTTGCTCTCAATTGCCTGTAATATAGTAATTGGGGGAAGGTTGATTATAATATACTTCATAGAGGCTGTCTACATCTGTGTGAATTGTAAGGCAGTGTTTGCTGGGATTCTTTATTTCACATGAACTCCCATTAGCTCTGCTAATGTATTAAAGACTTTTGCTCAAAGATAGAGTATGTTCTGGAGGGTGTTCTAGTTTCTGTTTTTATACAAAGGTACATACTGCATGTACCATGTTGCATGGAAGGGAAATTTTCAGAAGACAGCAGTATTAAGTGGCCGTAGGTGGGAGCACACTGACTTTGCAGTTTTTAAATTCCCTTCAGGCAGTATACAATCCTATTGTTTGTACCTTGACCCTCTTACCAGTGATGTGAGTTATCCATTGCATTATGAATTGATTAACCACTGGCTGACTGAAATTGTCTTGCTGTTGAAATCTTGGGTTGTGCTGGTTATGTATTTACTCTGTTGTCCTGAACACCTTGGAGTCTTAAGGATATCTGGTTATGGCAGCCTTATTGTAAATGGCCTTAGGTAGAAAGTCATGGGATCCAGGGAGCTGTATGATTTAGGAACATGCAGGATGTACTCGTAAGGGTAGGGGAAAGACCTTAGGAAATTGCTGGGTGTGTGCCTACAGAGGGAAGCCCTGGGTACATTCCCCAGTGTAAGAAAGTACTTAACAGTGTTTCAGAATTAGATTCTGTGTAAAGCAAAGGTGTTAGAGCAGTCCAAATTTGTTATTTTGAACTTCAAAGGGGGGGGTTCATTAACTACACTGATAAAGGTTTTAGAATTCTATTTTGGAAAACTCGATGTTAGCAACAACACTTCAAAGTTAATTTGTAACTATTTGTAATTGGATTCGTTGTATTCTGTTTGCATTCTAGAATTCAAAGGCAAGGCTACTTCCTTGGCTTTAATTTCTTTTAGAAAAAAAATACTGGAAGAAACTTAAGAGATCTGTTAATGCCAGTACTTGAATGTGACATTTAACATGTCATGGAAACTGCTTTAAATAAATACTTGAGAAAAGGAATTACATAATTGCCTTTTTTGTTATTGTTGTATGAATGGGCGTGATTATATTGAGCTTAATCACATTTTTTATAAAACTGGTTTGAGACAGAAATGGAATCCGTATTAAAACTTTTGGAAGATGGCCTTTTGAGTTTTACAGTAAAGATATGGCTAAATCAGTAAATAAAACTTTGAAACAGAAACTTGTAAATTACTTCTGCAATCACTGATCTATAAGCATGCTACTGCCAATCAGTTTTATGTATTAAGACCTATCAGCATG